AAATAAAAATGATTTTTGTAACTCAAATTTATATTTTCATAAAACGTTTATGAGTCAGTGCACGACTTTAAAATCGAAATTGAAATTATTTTTTTAATATTTTTCTTTAATTAATATAATATTATTAAAGGATAATGTGTTGAATGATGTTGTAAAATGAAGATTAAATTAGTTGTAATTGTTTTATTATGAATAAATATATATTACATTTATTTTATGTAAATTTTAATCGTTATATTTTTTTATTAATATATAACTTCCAACCATTTAATTTTAATTTAAACTAGTTGAAAACTATTTTAAAATAAATAAAGCTTTAATAACCTTTAAAAATTGTTTACAAAGTACTTTCAAAAGCATATATATGTGTTACTGTGTCATGTTATTAATATGAATGAGTTAACTATTTCTTCTATTGTTCTTTTTCTTTATAAAAGAAAATATTAAGTAAAATAACTTTCAATTAACTGACTGAACTATTAAAAAAAAGAAAACAAATTTAAAGTAAGCCAAGGCATTTTTTTTACACAAAGCAATAATAATAAAAATAAATAATTGAGAAATTTTTTTATTTAATAAAAGAAATCAAAAGTTTAGTATAATAATCGATTAACAAGTGCAATTTAACATATCTTTGCTAATCTCTTATAGGTCAAGTTATCAATTTGGCAACACTGTTTATTATTTTTAAACCTTATCTGTATTTTATCATTGTGGAGTTTGTAAAACAAATTTTTTTTTTTTTTTTTCGGTTTATTTTTTTTTCTTTTTTCTTTTTTTTTTTTTTTTTTTTTTGCAAAGGCAATGAACGTATTTTCATTGTCAATTAAATTTAGTATATCAAACATGTGTTTTTTAAGTAATTTTATATAATGGTGAGTAGTAATATTTAAATATTTTATCTTTCATTTTATTTATTTTTGATTATAATAATTTTTTTTAAACGCCCTTTAATTCATTTGAAAATTTGTTTTTTTAATTTATAATATTTTTAAGAAAATAAAAAATGAAAGCGGCTCCACTCCTTATTGGATCCGTCATTGGGTCTTTTGCAGCGGTTTGGATAATTTTACATCCTCTTCATCCAGAAGATAGAATATCAATTGTTCAAGGAGTATGTTTAATGGGTTTAGGATTTATTTTTTTCATTTCAATGTTTGATCTGTCTAATTATTTCATGTTTTATACGTATGAAGGAAAAAAATTTGCTAAAAAATATAAACTCAGCCTTTATGATGTTATGGATATATCGAACAAGTATGTGATGTGAATTAAATCTGTAATTATGTAATAATATCAGTTGATTGATTTTGACCTTTACTGTGACAAATAGCAATGTCAGATAACTTTTTTTTTTTTTTAATCATGTTTTCATTATTTAAATATTTTTCATTTTTTTTTTTTTTTCTTTCCAGAGTTGTATCTGCTGTGCAAGCAGTTCTCTCGAGTATTTGCGGAACTATTGTTTGCACTTTTTCTTGTCCGAGAAATATGTTAAGAACATCTCATTTTATGTCTCAGGCTTATGCCTGGTTTGGAGCTTCTTATTTTTTATATGATGTTTATTCAATGTTTATGGTTTGTTAAATTCAATTTCCAAACTTTTTCTTTTTTTTGTAAAAAATTATAACAATATTCATTTGAACATATTTAGATTCATAATCTTTCTCCGAAAACAATCAATAGATTAAATGCACGTAGTTTAACCAAAGAAAACGAAATCGTTGATGATAACCAAATACTAAAAGCTAGTCATTTTACAAAAGTTAAAGATTTTATTTACCATCAACCGATTATTATTATTCATCATTTATTTATTGGCCTTTTCGGTTTTTTAGTCGTCGTTGTAAGTATTACATCATTTCCTTTGCCCAAAACTTTTTTTTTTGTAAATAGTAAAGTCTAATTGTAATAATTAAAACATTTCAGCATTTGAGAAAAAATTTTGGCGATTGCGTTTTCGGATTAATTTTTTTAATGGAACTTTCAACTCCATTCGTATCATTTAGAGGAATATTAAGTAGATTACATTTGAAAGAATGTAATCTTTATCTTGTTAATGGAATTGTTATGATAGCAGTATTTTTTATGTGCAGAATATTTTTGTTCATTTGGTTATTCAAGTATTACAGTCAATTTATTGAAGCATCATTATTCGAGGTATCGATTTGAATAATCATTCATATTTACGACAACAATTTTTTTTTTTAAATTTAAATTTAAATCCCAAAAAAATTAATTTCTTTCTTTCTTCCTTTCAGGCTGTTTTATCTCTTCCAACTGTTTGCAGAATAAGTTTAATTATTCTAATACTTCCACAATTATATTGGTTTTCGATTATGCTTAAAGGAGCATTCGCTTTGTTTAGTACTACCAATACTAATAATTCAGGTAACAAATCGACTAACATTAATAATTTTATATCTGCCAATAAATTGAACGATACAAATGGAAAACAAAATTATAAAATTATTTCCGATAAGAAAACATAAAAAAAAATTGTAATAATAATAATAATAACTAGTCATAGAAATAAGAAAATATTTTTAATAACAATCTATTTGTTTTTCAAACTAACCATAAGTCAAAAATTAAAAAAATTTCTTTTTTTTTTTTTTTTATAAGCATTAAATTTGACATTTAAAATATTAATAATAATAATAATAATAATAAGCTTAACGCTTTTAAAATGTATTTTTTAAACGTTTTGTTTGAAAATAATATTTATATATAAATGTTTAATTTATTAATAAATTATTTAATAAAATTTTATGAGTAAATATATATTTATATAAATAAACATACGTATATATATATATGTAATGTGACTGTTTGTATTATTTATCGTTAACAAAATAATAATAATAATAATAATAAATAATTATTATGTAATTTAATAAAAATTATTTATGTTGAATTTTTGACTTGGAAAAGAAAAAAAAAAAAAATTATTTTTTTTAAAAATTGTTTTTGAAAAAATAATCAAAGGCAGCAGAAGAAATTATTTTTATAATTGTTTAATATGTCATCAATAATTAAATTGCTTCTTTGCTAAAATGTTATAACATTACACATTATTATTATTATTATTATTATTAAAATGGGGGAAGAATAAAAATGAATTTTATAAAAAAAAAAGTGTCCTAAAATCATTTATAAAACTTCCCGAACTGATATGAAAAAAAAAAAATTTTTTTTGCTACCCCAAGTGCTTCTTTAAAATTATGTAATTCTTCCATAGTTATCAATAATTTTTTTTTTTTCTTTTGTATTATTATTATTATTATTATTACTGTTTTTGTTTCGAATGATTTTTTTTTTTTTTTTTTTTTCACCCCCCCAAAATTTAATTTAATAATGAAATGTAAAGAAATTTTTTTTTTTTTTTTTTTATCGAGTATTGTTTTTGCCATTTTTTTTTTTTTTTTTAATGCTCTTGACAATTTTAATGTTATATACAAGCTGTTAATAATAATAATAATAATAATAGTAGTAGTAAAATAAATGTTCTAAAATACAAATTGTAACTGAGCTTTTTTTTGTTTTTTTTTTTTTTTAAATGAAATGTTGTTAAAAAAACATAAAAAAATGTTGTTTGTGTGTGTGTGTGTGCGTGGGAGTGTGTGTAACTTTGTACGTAATTGTTAAAGAATCATAAGAGTTTTTTTTTTTTTTAAATGTTACCTTTATATATAATAAATATTTATTGAATTTTTGTGCTTTTTATAAAAAAAAATAAATAATATTCATTAAAGCAGTTAATATGATGTTTTTGATTAATTTATTCCTACTGATAACTTATTTGGAAATTTCAAAAAAAAAAAAAAAACGTTTTGATGATAATAAGAAATTGTTGATAACTTTAGTCACGTAGCCATTTTGATTGACAAACAATCAATTTTTTTTTGTTCGATTAAAAATAATTATAATTTGTTAAAGTTTTAAATAATAATTAATTAATTTTTTGTTGTTTGCGAATAGAAATTTCATTTTTGTTTTATCGATAAGTAATTTTTTATTGTTATATTTCAAAAATTATTATTTATGTCAAAGAGAAATGTTCCCCCCACCCCATGTTTATTTTTAATAAGTAATTATTTTAAAAATTAATTAATAACGTTTGATTTTTTTAAAAACAATTAATAAAAAGAATTATTTCAGTCAAATTATTATTAATAACTTGTCATTATAATCCGATAATGTTTTGATTTACGGATTTAAGAAACTGTCAAAAAACAAACAAAAACTCGCGCCATTTTGTTTCAATTGTTTACATTATTTTTTTAATGAAAAATTTTAATATAAATAAAATTTTAAAAAATTTTCATCGTGCCTTATCGTAAAACGCATTTAATTAATCATTATAGTTTTATTAAACATTTAAAATGTTTTAAATGAAAATTAATGTTTTTTGCAAATAAAAAAAGAATTTTCTTTAAAAACATATTGAAATTCATTAGGCTGGTGTACTAGCAATCGATTTAAACTTATTTTTTTATTAAACAAATAATTAAATTTTGTTATTTTATTCAACCGCAATAAAAATATTTATTAAAATGTAACTTACCTTAATAATTTCCATTCCTTCAACCCATTTTCACTTAATAAAAATCACAATTAAAACTTAAAAAACACATTTCAATATTTTAAACTGGCAGCCATCTTTAAAAATTTTTTCGTTAGACGTTTCCGGACGTAACGGTAAACACTAATGTTTTTATTTAAATAAAAAACAATTTTCAAATAACAAAAGGTCTTTAATTATTTAAAAATGGGTAAGCATGATAAATATTTAAAATACAATGTAAATTTATTTAAATTTTTATTTTAAATAAGGTAAAATCAATGTTATTGATGTAATTTCGTATTATCTATTCAATAAATACATAAATATGTGATTATTATAATTATTATAAAATTGTCACCTTATCACAATTGACAAAAAAAAAAAAAACCGTTGTGAATGATTCTCTTTTTCCTTTTATATTTATTTATTAAAATAGTGCAAATATACTAAATTTGTATATTAATATTTATATTTTCTTTAATTGTCACTTGCTAATGTTTACCATGTATATATATATATATAAAGAATAAGATGGCAAATTAAATGTAAATATTGTCAATTTTATGTTTTTTATGTTTTATTTATTATGTTTTTTCTTTAAAGTACAATAATGGTTTATAATAACCTTAATTTGTATGAAAATATTTAGAATTTTATTTAAAATTCAATTATTTTTATTAGGTTTAAAAATTTTTTCCTTTTTCAGGTACTCAAGAATTTCAAAGAGAATACATAGATTATTTACAACAGAGAAATACTGAACTATTAAATAAACTTAGTCAATTGAAAGAAAGTTACGATAATAATCTTGTGACAAAAAACACAAATGGGCAGTATTTTAGTACGACAGTCGAAGACATTTTGGTGAGGCCATCTTTTATGTTCGTTTTTTTTTTTTTTCAAAAAATAAAAATAAATTGTGTTGATTACTAAATAGTAAAGTTTGCAATTTGTTAGTTTTAGTTTTTCTATTTTAGTTTAAACTCAATATATATATATGCATGTACATATGTGTGAGTGTATCTGTTATAAAATTTTAGTTAGTTTTCGAATAAAATGTTATGTTATTTTGCTATGACTATCGAATTACATTTTTCAGAATGTTTGCATATCCCTACCACAAGATATAGACAAATTTTTCGAAGAAATATCAGCAGCTATGAACACATTAAAAAATATATTGCTGAAAAAATCTGAAATGGTACAGTTATTTAAAAAAATATCACTCGAGTCAAATTTATTTACGTTGGGAAATGAAAAAAATTGTCTGGCAGAAGAAACAAATTTACAACAAGGCACTGGAAAAAAAAGTTAGAATTTTATTTTATTTTCGAATACAAAACAAACTAACCTATATATATTTTTATTATTATTATTTATTTAAAGGTGGCACTGTAAAAGTTTCACCAATGATAAACGGACAAGTCATTTCAACAGAACCGAGAATATATTTAAACAGGGTATTAACACCTACCAGGAAAGTTGGTAAGAGAAAAAATTATTTTTTTTTTTTGGAAATCGAATGACAATTATTAAAATCACCATGTTTTTTTTTTTTTTTTTTTTTTTTTAGAACCTCTGTCTCCGATTGTAGAAACAAGTCCTGCATGTTCACCTGAATTAATAACACCAAACAAATCATGCGAAGAAAGGGGAAAATTCAACAGCAATTCGAGAAATTCTATTAAAAGTGAGGTAAATAATTTAGTCGAGAGTTGAAGACATTTTCTCGATTATTATAATTTGTTTAATAATTAATTATGATGTTGATGACAGGAATTGATGGAAAGTGAAAAAATTGATAATGATGATAAATCATCAAATGTACCTGGTGTAAAAAGGGAAAAATTAGATGACATCACATCACGTTCGATTAGGCACAATCGAAATAGTTCATCGCAAACAAATAAAAACAATACGATCGGTGAGTAGTAAAAAAAAAAAAAACTTTCATAATTTCTAATAAAAAAAAAAAGAAACCTTAAACCTTAAACGATTAATATTTAATTAGTATTGATGAGAGAAAATGAATTCGATCCATTAGAAGGTCCATCATGGCGTTTTAACGGTCGTCGTTCGTCAAATTCTTCACCTTCGAACGTTTCAAATACATTTGTTAATTCAAGGCGGCATAAATACAGGTTTTTCTCTAAAATTTTTGATAAAGTAATTTTTTTGTATTTTTTTTTCATTAAATTAAAATAAATTTTAATAATAATAATAATAATATTTACGTGCATTGATTTGACATTTAAAATTTTTGATAACAAAAAAAAAAAAAATAATAATAATAATATTTACAGAACGATAGATTATCCGATATGAATAAAAAACAAAAAAAATCTGGTATAAATGTAAGAAATTCAATGAAAAAAATGGAAGATTTAAACATGTCACCGTTGTCGTCACCGTTGTCGTCACCGTCGTCGTCACCGTCATCGATGACGTCACAATTTGTTGATAATTTTTCACGGGATGATAATAATGTTTTTTTAGAGGAAAGTGAAAATCATTCGACGATGGAAAAAAGAGAAACGGAATTTTCTTCAGAGTGAGACTATATACTTTGTGAATTTGAAAAGAGAGAGAGAGAGAGAGAGAGAGAGAGAGAGAAAAGAATTTTCCGAATTAAAAAACTTTTCTTTTTTTTTTCAGTTGCATTTCGAATACGCCTAATGTAAGCGTAAACGATGACATTATAAAAAAATTGTTAGTTGACATTTTCTTTTTTAACTAAATTTTCCAGCCTTTATGATGAGAAAATAAAAGGAAAATTTATTTGGGTTTTTTTTTTTTATAGGAAACAACCGGTTATACAATTAGAAGATTGCATGATTGAAAAAAAATCAAAAAATAAAAATAATAATAATAATAATAATAATAATAATAATAATATGGTTAAGGGAAAATTCAAAAGCAGAATATTAAATGAAATAAAATTAGATGAAACAATAAATTCGGATGAATCCGGAGGGAGGACGAACATTGCGGGTGGTAGAAAAAGAAGAAAAGCCGCACCCGTTAATTTAAGCGAACCTAATTTAAACACGTGAGAGAGAGAGAGAGACAAAAAATTAATTAATTTTTCTTCTGTCTCTTTTATTTATTGATATAAATTGTTTTTTTTTTGTGTGTGATTGTTACAGTAAGCTGAGAAGAGAATGAACGAAGAAACGGAAGAGGAGAAAAAGGAGAGGGGAGGTGGGGGACAACGTATGGAAAATCGGGTATACCTACTAAGTAGTTTTTTTCGTGACAGGTTTTGAAATGGCAAAAACCAAAAAAAAATTTACCCGGATTTCTTCAATTCATTCTAAAAAAAAAAAATTAAACTGATTTTCGCACGTGTATTGTTATATCGAACGGAAATGTAATACATAATCATCATCATCATCATCATCGTTATCGTCATTAATATTATTATTAGAATTTTTTTTTTTTTTTTTTTTATATTTGTCTTATGTGAATTATTTTTGTGTTTATTTTTACATCATTTTATTTTTAAATAAAATATTTAATGTAAAATAATTCTAATTTTTTTTTATTTTTCCACATATCAACTTTTATATAATTATTTATTATTATTATTATTATTAATTTATTTATTTTTATTATTTTTAAAAAGAGAAAAAAATTATTGGGTTGGGGAGTAAATAATTACGGATTTTCCACCGATAGATAGTTTTCCCATGTTTTTGAGTACCTTTTTACATTTTTGTGCAGACAAGAAGAATTTTTGATATCTTATTATTTGGTTCCTTCTGTACCATTCAGTATCAAAAGTTCATTGAACTCTTAAAAGGTACGCGAGCAAAAGACATTTAAAGCCAATGAGGAGCCAAAGCGAGAATTTCCTTGACATTTTGCTTTTTTGAAAGGGTGGGCTTCACAAGCCAATAAAAAGTTGTGGGTGGGGTTCAGTGGAGGTGGTCGATGATGACCAAATAAAGATCATAAAAACCGTCTGCGGCGTCTTGGGTACCAAAAGAAGCTTGGCGCATTACCTTGGGTAGTGTAGGACAACTTGGTCTTTGCGATATGCTTTGCTTAAATGCAATGCGAATGACCCATTTTTGAAAGAATAGTGACCGGAAATGAAAAGTGGGTTGTCTATGACAACATTTTGAGGAAAAGATCCTGGTCTAGGCATGGGAAACAGGCACCAAAAAAGGTACTGTCATCATTTTGGCGGTATTACAAAGATATAGCCTACTTTGAGCTGCTGCTGCCACGAAATCAGACCACAAATTTAAGGTTTACATTCGAATAATTTAAATAATGCCATCCAAGAAAAACGACCAGAGTTAGCCAATAGAAAAGGAAGAATTGTCTTTCACCACGATAATCCCAAACCCCACACATCTTTAGCCACGGGACAATTAAACATAAAAATAGTAATAATAATAATAAAAAACTTACCCTTGGAAAATTCGTAGAACGAAAGCTGCAAAACTGTGAACAAAAAGAAAATAATTATTATTATCTTGGTATTTTTTTTTTAGTTTATTAAAACCAATTCCAGCATCCGTTTTCACACGAGAAATGTTTTCGCAATAATCGAGAGAAAAAAAATCCGTTTCCGTTATTTACCTCAAAACAGGCTTTTTTCAAATGGTATAAATTCGACGACTTCGACTTGTTTAATTTATTATTTTCCACGTTTTTCAATCGTGAGTATAATAAATTTTTTTTGGAAAAATGTCTAAACAATCGGGAAGAGGTGGAGGACAGAGACAACAATTACCTCAAAGACCATCATCCGGTAACGATGATTCTAGAGAACACGTTTTACATTTTCTATTCGACAGACCTGCAGAACCTGTATTTCTACCAAAAGGTGATAACAACGCATTGTTCGATTTGCCAACGGATTACATAGTAAATATTTTTTTATTTAAACCTTTCGATAATTGTTTAAACGATCCTATTCAAACATATAATCCCTTTTTAATAGGCTGAAGAATATCGACCGGCTAGAGAAGGTTTGGTCAATCGTATAAAAGATGATATTGGAGAAAACATACCTGTGAGAAAAATAACATTACCGGATTTTACACCGATATTACGTTTGAGTCGTCGCGAACCATTTTCACTTTTTATTCCACAACATAGAAAATTAGCTGCGAGATTGATCGACATTTTCCTCGGTAATAAAATAAATAAAATTTCTGGATCTGGAAATGTTTTCCAGAAGAAGGCAACAACAATTCAATAATTTTCTTTTGCAGGAATGAGAAGTTACGAAGATTTTTTATCCGCTGCCGTTTTTGCAAGAGATCGTGTTAATCCTTATTTATTCATTTACGCATTATCGGTCGCCATTATTCACAGATCGGATACGAAAAACGTTCAGTTGCCACCACTTTACGAAAATTTTCCGGAAAAATACATGGATGGAGGAATATTCAAACGTGCGAGAGAAATCACGAGCGTTTTAGATCCGAGCGAAAGGGTAATCAAATCGCCATATTTTTTCCTTTTGATCTCAATTAATAATTCTTTTTAATAAAAAAAAAATTTCAATATAGACTCCGATTGAAATACCACGTGATTACACAGCATCCGACATAGATCCGGAACATAAAGTTGCTTATTTCCGAGAAGATTTAGGTATAAATCTTCATCATTGGCATTGGCATTTGGTATATCCATTCGATGCCGACATTAACATCGTTAACAAAGATAGAAGAGGAGAACTTTTCTATTACATGCATCAACAAATAATTGCCAGGTTTGCCAACATTTTCCGACAGACACACCATTTTCACGACTTCCATTTTTTTTTTTTTTTTTTTTTTAAATCTTCTTTTTGCTTTTTTTTAAAGATTTAATTTCGAACGTTTGTGTAACGATCTTCCGAGAGTTGAAAGACTCACGAGTTTTCGCGAACCCATACCGGAAGGTTACTTTTCCAAATTGGATAGCTTGGTATCGAGCAGGAGTTGGCCTCCGAGACATTCGAATGCAGTTTTAAGCGACGTGTATCGTGAAATTGATCAAATCAAATTCGATTTAAGCGATTTAGAAAGATGGAGAGATAGATTACTTGATGCCATCGCTCAGGGTGCAATCCAAGACGTGAGTATTACTCATTACCACTACTACTACCATCCATACCATGGAAACTACAGCGGAAAATCGTTTGTTTTCAGGAAAATGGCAGAAGAATCGAATTGGATGAAACTACGGGTATCGACATACTGGGAAATCTAATTGAATCGAGTGTCATATCGAGAAACAGGAATTATTATGGAGATTTTCATAATTTTGGACATTTGGCCATATCCCTTTGTCACGATCCCGACGCGAGGTTAATATACTTTAAAAAGAAAAAATTAAAAAGGTTAAAGGTCATCATGGTATTAATTTGTTTTTTTTTTTTTTGGTACTTAAAGGCATTTAGAAACTTTTAGCGTGATGGGTGATCCCGCGACGGCCATGAGAGACCCAATATTTTACAGATGGCATGCATACATAGATTACATTTTCCAACAGCATAAGGAAACTTTACCACCTTATACCGAACAAGTCGTGAGTTAAAAATTTCAAATTGACGTATCCCCGGGTCCGACAGTAAAATTTTTTTTTATTTTTATTTTTTTTCCAGCTCGATTATTCTGGAATTAGAATCACGGGATTGGAAGTTATAACAAACGGACGTAATAGAAATGAACTATCGACATTTTGGGAACAAAACGATGTGAATTTAAGCCGCGGAATGGATTTCACACCCAGAGGAAATGTTTTTGCAAGATTTACTCACTTACAGCATCTCGATTTCGTGTACCGCATAAACGTAACACGATCATCTTATTGTTCTAACAACAACCACAACAACAATTTGCTTTTTCTTTAACTTTCATGATTTTCTTTTCCAGATTGAAAATAACACTGGACAAAATCGTGCTGGAACAGTTCGTATATTCTTAGCTCCTAAACTTGACGAAAGAGGTCTTCCTTGGTTGTTTGCAGATCAAAGACACATGTTTATTGAATTGGATAAATTTCCAGTTGCTTGTAAGACACCGATTCGATACCTTAAAAAATTATTATTATTATTGTTTAACGAAGATAATTAATTGTTTTAGTGAAGAGCAAACAGAATACAATCGAACGTAGCTCGATCGAATCATCTGTCACGATTCCATTCGAAGCAACATTTAGAGATTTGGACATGAATAGACCGAGTGGTGGTAAACGTCTCGAACGTTTTAATTTCTGCGGTTGCGGTTGGCCCCAACACATGCTCATCCCCAGAGGTGCAACCGATGGATTCCAATGCGTTTTATTCGTTATGATTTCAAACATTGACGATGATAGAGTAGGTAGCTCAAGTTCAAAATTTCCTCCCAATCGACAATACGACGATTACTCACGACATTTTTTCCAGGTCGAAGGTGCCGCAACGAGTAATCAACGTGGATTCGATGATGCTGCAAGTTACTGCGGAGTTAAAGATTCAAAATATCCAGATAGGAGACCCATGGGATTCCCATTTGATCGTCCTCCGAGGTAAATAGATACTAAAAAAATTAAAATTTCATATGTTTTCCTTTTGACAATTATTATTATTATTATTATTTTTAGAAATAACGTGGATACTTTGGGTGAATTTTTAACGCCGAACATGAGAACGGCCGACGTACGAATTTTCTTTCAAGATCGAGTAGAAGCGAGACGAGCTAATCAATTACCCGAAGGAAAAAAGTCCAGGCCTTGAAAACATTTGATAAAATAATTTTTGACTGCTTCCACGACGACGACGACGATGACGCAATCAACTTGTTACATTTTTATTAAATAAAAGCATTATTTAAATAATAATAATAATGACTTTTTTTTTTACAACAACAACCTCATCCCTTATTAATAAAAACATACAAAATTTTTAATATTAATAATAATTATTAAATTATTAAATTAAATTTTTTATTATTTATCGATTTATCGATATATTTAATATTTAATAATAATAATAATAATACATAAACACTAAAAAGTTATTAAAACTATTACAAAAAAAAAAAAAAAAAAAAATGGATCAATTTAGTTTTTTTTTGGTCGTACTAAAATTATTAATAAAATATATTTTTTAAAAAAATCACTTTGGACAATTGAAATTATTATTTAATTATCGATCAATCAATCAATCAATCAATCATTCATTCACTCACACATTTATTTAAATTATCATTATTATTATTATTACGTTAATATTATTTATTATAAAAATAAATAAGAAAAACGTACGTCAAAAAAAAAAAAAAAAAAATTTACAAAACATTTCAACGATTTGACTAGTAATAAATTTATTTATTAATAATATTAATTTAATAATTATCATCATTATTATTACTATTATTATTATTATTAGTATTCAATAATAATAATAATAATTCCCCTCCCGTTTCCCCCCCGTTTATCCCCGTACTCTCAAACTTTCTCTTTCTCTCTTTTGGTAATAATAATGATTTAATTTTTTTATTTTTTGCACTTTAATAAAATTTTCGTGACGTCATCATAATTTATTAAAAATCTTTTGACGTCACAAACTAAATAAATAAATAAAAAATCCCCCCCCCCGTTTTAAATAAATAATTAAAAAAAAATGATTTCATTTATTTATTTATTTACATATATGTATTTTATTTGAATAAATATTAATGGCACGAATAAGTCAATAAATAAATAAATAAATAAATAATTCAATAAATACATAAATAAATAAATAAATAAAATTATAATATACGAGTTATTTATATCACGCAATTGCGTCGTGACTTCTCATCATACCGAATAATTTAAATATAAAAAAAAAAAAAATTTTCGAAAGGCTTCGACGAGTATTTTATTCCAAAGGTAGTCATGGCAGTCGTAATAATAATAATAATAATAATAATAATAATGATAATAATAATAATAATTTAATTAATTACATTTATCACACTTAAATTACGTCACACATAAAAATATAAACCACATGTGTCACGAAAATGTTTAAAAAAAAACAGAAAACAATGGCACGAAGATTTAAAACCCCTTAAATCTCTTTCGATATCCCCCTTTCTCCGCCTCCCGCCCCTTCTCCCGCCCCCCGAGAAAAAATATCATTATTATTATTATTTATATTCATACGTTTATCATAATTATTTATTTACAATCTAACGTTTAGTAATAGTAATAATAATAATAATAATGATAAAAAATAGTATAAAATTTTTACTCAAATCACGAATGAATGGCGGATGGAATGAAATGGATGCGAATATAAGAAAAATTCAAAATGGCGACTGCGTGAATGCGTGCGCGTGTGTTTCGCATATAAAAAATTTGAGATTTTGCTAGGATCAAAGACACGAAAGAAGGATCATACGAAATCATCACGCGCACACACCCACACTTACACACACACACACACACACACACACACACATAAAAAATTGTTTAATTACTCGTTTAATTACGTAACGTAACGTAAAAACGAGTTCAAGCGCCATTTTTTTTTTTTTTTAAATTTTCAAGCATTTAAAATTCATTAAAAAGTCATAGAAAAAAATGATGATAATGATAATGATAACGATAATAATAATAATAATTTTTCTTACCCCCTTATTTTGACCCCTCCCATTTTATTTTATTTTTTTTATCGTGCATAAATAAACCGCGTGAAAATTTTATGACGAACCGCCATTTTTTTTTTTTAGGATTTATTTATACACGAATGTGATGGCTATTTTTTCGGAGTCGGAGTCGAACATTTTAAATTTTCCGTGCTGTTGCTCTTTATGCCTCCACTTCCGCCGGCTCCGGCGGTGGCGGTGGAGGCGGCGGTGCCGGATTTCGAACTCTCGCCGAGGATTTTCCTCGGGCTCGCTTTTATTTCGACCATTTTTTTTTCTATCGATTTTCTCGGCGTGGGTATGGCCGAGGGTTTTTTCTCTGTCGTTTTCGGCGGACACGATTGTCCTGATGGCCTTGCCAGGGGTTCGGCAGTTTTGACGCTTTCGATAATTTTAGTCGTTACCGTTATTAATTCGGGATTGTTTTTATCGGTATTTGAATTCCTCGGTTGTATCAAAGGCTGTGATATCATTTGACGATGATTTTGATATTGCGTCGCAGATGCAGACGACGACGACGACGACAACGAGTCTATTTGGAAACGTTGTTCAACTCGTTGATCGGCGTGGCGTTATTTAGCTCCTGGAACTTTTGCTAAAACCTTGAATTTAAAAATAACACAATTAGTTTACGTTTCCATTTCACTTCAATGTGACTTATACTTAGGTATATATATATATACAACCTTGGACAAATCGACACCGGTTAGAGCTTGTACGGCTGGAGGGATTTGTCCTACAAGTCTTGTTATCTCACCGGTGGATGAATCGCTTCCACCTAAAAGAACAATTTCTTCCGTTTTGGCAAGTGGTGCAGCTACTTCCGCTGCTATTTTTGGTAACGCTTCGACTACTAAAGACATTATCGCAGCATCTTTGTAGTCTTTATATACTTTGGCTTTTAATCTCATTCTTTCGGCTTCCGCTTTTCCGACTAAACCTATCGCAAGAGCTTCCGCTCCTCCGACTTTTCTTATTCTTTCTCCTTCCGCTTTGGCAATTTCTACTGTTTGTGTACGCTTTCCTTCGGCTATCATCTACAACAATATTTTATCATTCTCAATTCTATTTCTGTTTGTAATCGAGCAACCAACAAACAAGTCGTGAAAGGGTAATAAAAAAAAAAAAAACAAATTTTATTATTATTATTATTATTAATTTATTAAAATAAATAAAAATAAATAAATTTTCAAATGAGGTATCTAATCCTCCTTCGACTACAGGACTACCAACCACAACCACTACTACCACTACAACTACTACAGCGTGACTACTACTACTTTTATTAAAACGTGATTTCAAATTTAGAAAAATTTCCAACGATTCGAAACGTACTTGAACTCGATAGCTTTCCGCTTCCGCCGGAAGACGAACCGTTGCATTGAGTTCTCTTTCCTTTCTTAAAACTTCCTGTTCTTCGACTTGTATTTCTTTCCTTCTTTCTACCACGTCTATTTGTATTTCTTCGTTTCTGATTTGTTGTTTTATTTTCGCTGCTTGAAGTTCGTATGCCAGCGCAGATTCCGCTTTCTGAACATACACAAAAAAAAAGTAAATATGATTATTAAGAAAGTGATTCCTCCACCCCTCCCCCCCCCGGGGTCAAAACGTACGGCCGTGTTGATTTCCTTATCGAAATTGGCTTTTTGCAATTTGTACATTCTGGCATTATCTTCGATTTTCGTGTCCGTGTTGTATTTTATATCCATTGCGGATTTCTCGCATTCAGCTTCGCGGATTCCAGCATCTCGATTGGCTTGTGCTACGCCTATGTCTGCATCCCGTTTGACGGCAGCCGTTTGCGATTTACCTGAAATGTAATCAAATGCGAATTAAATTTCCCCCCATTTAGTTCTTCTTACACGTCGTTTTCGTCGTCGTTACCTAGTGAGGCCAGGTATTGAACGTCATCGTAAACGTCTTTTATTGTAAACGATAAAATTTCAATTCCCATTCGTCCGACATCAGGAGCGGCTACTTCTCTCACCAGTGCTGCAAACTGATCTCGGTCTTTGTACACCTCTTCTACTGTAAGTGTTCCTGCAAAACGAAAACAAAACTTTATAAACCGCCATTTTAACTTAATCCATCGTAGAGTAACTTTTCAAAAAAAACCAGGTTTTCGGTTTTGACTTCCAGGCAAATTTATTTGCGCAAAATAAAAAAAAAAAATTTCGCCATATTTGCGAAATTTTCTAAACTTTCTATTGGTTCATTTTGTTTTTTTTTTTTTCTAAAAGGCAAAAACCAAAAAATCTTTCGCAATTATTTGATAATTAGAAAAAAAGTCGAGGTCGAACGTAGAAAACATTTTACATTGATACGACCTTGATTTATTAATTTCTGTTCCCCTCCCTCTCTGCCCCCCCCCCGTGATATCCGTTCGTACGTACTTTTTGACGACCATTGCCGTTCCGATGAGCGTCATGACGACTTGCAAAGCTCCGATATTAGCCAGACTAACCATAATTAAACCTAAACCTAAACCTCGTAATTTCCCTTTTTTTGATTGAATCTCCTACTCCAGGTACGCGTAGGAAAAAAAAAGGAAAAAGAAAAGGAAAAATTCAAGAACGCACGCGGAAAAATAAAACGCGTTCGCAAGAAAAAAAAAAAACGTTCGTGCAAAAATATTATTTAAATGTCCATCAACAAACAACAACAACAAACAACAACAAACGATAACAACTCTCGTTTATGGTTAATGCTAAACTTTCTCGTAACAATTTTTGTGCTTCTTCTTCTTTCTGCCACGTCTTTTGTGTACTTTTTTAACAACAACCGATTATTATCTAATAACACGTTTTCACGACTTTTTAAATTTTCAAACGTTTTTTGTGTTAAAAAATTCAATTTTATCGATTCGTAGTCAATCGATCGATTACAATATTATTATTATTATTATTTTCGCGATTTAAAACTTTCTAGTAGATTTTCAGGTATCCGCGTTAGCACGAGCTATCGTCGGAGGGTATGCGAAACACTGACAATTCGCGAAAACAAAATAAAAATTTTCCAACTTGTTTTTCGTACGAGTAAAACAAAAACAACAAACACAACAAACAACGGCGACGGCGAAAAAAAACGTTAGAAGAAAAATGGCATAACTGACTTGTGATAACCGATGTCGTGGTCGTAGCGATGATGATGATAATGATGAAAATTTAGCAAAACGTTCCGCGCGTCGGATTCTTCCACGTCTGACGATTCGGAAAAAGAAAAACTTTCGGAAAAAGCCACGCGATGGAGCAGACGACAAAGAAGAAAAAAAAAAAAAATACAGATTTTTTTTTTGGGTTGCTCCCACTTCACTAAAAACACGATAAGATTTGCAAATTTGTTTTTTTTTGCACGGATGCCTGAATTTCGTCGTACCTGAATTCTACCGGAGGACCGCTTTCGGGTGTTCTCGTTATCGTAATTACGTAAGCGAAATTATCTTTTACCCATTGCGTGATTCGATCCGATCGACATTTCCATCGCATCTTGCGTGATTCTTCGGCCACGTTGTCTCCTACCACGTTTTTTTTTTTTTTTCTTACTAAATTTTTTCGGTATCTACCACGCATTTCAAAAAAAAAAAAAAAAAAAAAAAAAAAAAAGAAAATTATTTAATTAATTATTTACGTTTTCGTTCCGATTCTGAGAAAAAAAAATTTTTTTTTTTTTTTTTTCTTTTTGTTCGTTGATCCCCTTTTCAAAGGAAATCATTCAAAGGTGAACGCGTCGGGTACTAATTATTATTAGTAGGTATCACGATAAGAAAAATTTAAGTTCGTCGCTCTTTTTATAATTTAAAAAAAATAAATTGCGCGTCCGAAATTTTTTCTTCTTCCTGATTACACTTTTTTTTTTTTTTTTTTTTTTTTTTTAAAATTAAGTTCAAGTTCGTTAATTTTGATTTCGGGGGTTTAAAAAAAAAAAAATTTTCCTTTTCAGGCACTCGGCGCAAAAAACGCGGCAAAAATTTTAAATTTTCTTTTTTTAAAGTTGGCATTTGAACAACAAAAAGGAAAATTGGAAACTTAACGTAAAAGTTAATTTTTACGTTTGGTTATTTGCTGGGTGTGACGCTCTTTGTTTTTTTTTTTTTTTTTTTTTTTTTCATTTCCAATTGATATAATATTCCAAACGCGAAAAACTTGTTTCCTTGATTTAGAGTTTCAGTGGGAAAACAATGAGAGAGAGAGAGAGAAAAAAAATTTTTTAATCAACTTGCCAAGGCAGCACAATCATGTTTTCCATATGTTTAAAGAGAGACGACCGATTGCTTTGTTCGCTTAAACAACAACTTCCGCCTTGTTTTGTTTTTGTTTTTCTCCTTCTCATTATAAAACTCATTTAAAAAACGGAAATGACCGTGACCGTCACGACAATGATACTCAAAACATACTAATAAATTTTTTTTTTTTTTTTTTTTGAACCTAAAATAACCGGTTGCGATCGTAAAATGTAGGAAATGAAATCGCGAGTTGAAAAAATTTAACTAAAAATTACGATTTCATTTCCCCCCCCCCTTGATTCGCGCGTGGAATTAGAAAAAAAAAAAAAAACAAAAAAAGAAAGAAAAATTAAACGTGACCGCGTCACCGCCGTCGCTTTAAGCAAGTTTTGATGATTCTTCATTCAATCGTCCCGAAATTAATATTTCCTTTTCTTTCTTTTATTTCCCCGATTGTTCGTTTCGGTTGTTTGTTTGTTTGTACAACGGTAAGAACGTGACTCAATTTATTTCTTGAGGTCGTAATTCGTGTAATTAATTCGTTCGAATCCGTCGCGCGCATGACATTTCATGACAAGGTGATGGTCAAATTGTAAACACGCCATCACTTACATTCAACCATCTACTCCCAAATAAAAATGTCAGTTTTTGTTTACGTCACTTTTGAGCAGTTTCTACACTCGTACCGGAAATCACATTAACAGTAGCAAACTTTACAAACCTTTTGAGACGTTGGAGAGAGAGAGAGGAAAAAAAAGCAAAAAGTATAACTCACCTAAAATGGCTCTGAGATGACCCTCCAGCGTTTGTAGTATCGTGCTTTTAACTTCTTTGACGTCTTTTCCCAAAAACTGTTCGCTCGCCGTTTGTAGTAATTCTTCTGCTCTCATTATCTTACACTGAGCTACTCCGGTCACGGTCAAGGGCACTCCTTGAGCCGTTTCCACGTATTCGCAAATCGGATTTAACGTCATCACTTCGAGTGATAACCTTTGAACGTCTGTGATTCCGTACCATGCCCAAGCCCAACCTCCGACGATTGTCACTTTTTTCGTCGCTCGACAACATCCTCCTGCGTAAGATAGAAGAAAAAAAAAAAAAAAAAAAAAAAAAAAAATGTAAAATTTTTATTTAATCCTTAAAAACCTGAAACCCCGCCCCCCCCCATCCCACCCCACCTCCCCGTCTATTTGCTTTCTCACTTTCGTTTGTTTTAAACGTAGACCGCCTACGTGCGTCTCTGCACGGATTTTTCGTTTTATGATTTCCGAAAGTGGATCACACAAAGCTTCATTCGAATTTCAATCACAAACAACCACAATCGATTGTTATGAAAACAAACAATACCAGTGATAATTTATTTTCTTTTTAAAAAGTTAACGTTATGCAATTGCGGTCAATTTGGTGTCGTCATTTGGCAAAACGGTAAAAAAAAATTATATCGTCCATCATTTCCCCCTTTTCCCCCCTCCCTCATCATCAACACCAGAGCCAACAAAACATGAACGCAAACGTGTGTGTGTGTGTGTGTGTGCGCGCGCGCGAGACTTAATACTCTTTTTAAAATTCTATGAATGGTACCGTTACCTCTTTATCGTAGTATGGTACTCGCACAAGAATCGTATGTTAAAGAAAGGTGATGGTAACCAGAACACGTTCGTGTTCGCCAACTAATATTTAACCCACACCTGGATTCGATCGAATACAACAACAACAACAACAACAACAAACGTAAAAAGTTGTTTCGTCAAACACAAATTAAAAACGACCGCAATAGCTTTCTACCGGTATTTTCCTTCTTCTTCTTCTTCCACTTCTCGACTTAGTTATTTTGCCGTTACTCATACCTAAAACTCTAGCATTATTATTATTATTATTATTATTATTATGTTTTCATTCTTCTTCGAGTCTCGACTTCAGTCGGTAGGAGTTTTTTTTTCTTTTGTGTGACGATAAATAAATTCTTTCGTCGTGAATATCGTTAACATTATTGTTATTATTATTAATATTTTTATGGTTTTTCAAAGGAATAACAAACGAACAAAAAGAGAGGATCGACGTTGTAAAATAATAAATAAATCGTCAAAGGTAAAGTAAAATAATTATTATTATTATTATTACTTTTTGAAATTATTTTGTTCAGAAACGGGGGGGAAAAAAAAAAAAATTACGTCGCGTTCCAACAGCGACAGCGACGACAACGATGACGTTCAAATCACCGGAAATGAAAATTTAATTTACCTGACATTTTTTTTTTTTTTCTAAAAATTTTAATAGAAAAATCATCATCATCTACACCGTCACCATCAGGGATTCAGGGAAGGTGGGGGAGGGAGAGGGAGAAAATAAATAAAAAATTTAATCCTTCATGTTGTCCGTTTGTTTGTTTGTTTGTTTGTTTGTTTACTTCATAAAACTTTCACTTTGCCTTTTTTTTTTTATACGATTGAAAAAAAAAAAAAATCAAAGAAATTTATTGTGATCGAAAACGTTCGTTAATAATAATAATAATAATAATAGTGATAATAATGATAATGATAATAATAATACTGGAGTTGAATAAAATTGTAATGGTGAAAATTTTTAAATTTCGATTTTATCTAAAAAAAAATTTTTTTCTTTTTTTTTTTTAATAAACTTTTTCAAAAGAAATTTTGTCGATTTCGTGGTCACGGTTTTGTGATGATGATAATGATGATGATGATGATGATGATGAACTTTGTACCGAGCGGTGGGCATGTCTTTGGCATTAATAATTTCTCTCTCATACATTTCCACGAATCGAATTTTTTATAAAATCATGAGTCGTCGTCGTCGTCGTCGTCGTCGTCAACGTCTGACACAGTTTAAGTGAAATTATTATTTCGAAATAAGTTCAATGTTTTGGCTTTTTCGGGCATTTATTTGGCAAACGCGACGGAATCGAATCGTCGTCGTCAATCCTCACGTTTTTGTTTTCCCTAACAGTTTAAAGTAACCCGATACGATGCGACATGTCAGCCATAGCAGGAGTACCGATATCATTGGCGGGTGCTGCAGCAAGCGCTGTCGGTGGTCTTTCCTCGTGGTTTCTACCCATGCTCGTTGCTGCCGTCGCATATTTTCACTACGAACTTTTAGATCCGGAATCGAGACCGATAGACGTCGTAGACGAAATGATGTTCGATAATTACGATTTTGTCATAGTCGGAGCAGGTTCGGCTGGTAAGTTTTTCTGTTTTTTTGTACCTTTCAGACAAACGGTCAGCTACCCGCCGATAAACAAACCGTTTGTTTTCGTTCAGGTGCAGTTTTGGCAAATCGTTTGAGCGAAATCGACGATTGGAACGTTTTACTACTCGAAGCCGGTCACGACGAAACTGAAATTTCTGACGTACCCTTACTCGCTGCTTATTTACAACTCAGCAAACTCGATTGGCAGTACAAGACGGAACCGCAACCCACGGCATGTTTGGGTTCGTACAAATGAAATTAACCGTCAAATCTCACTCAAGCGTGAGAAATATTCGTTAACAACAAACAAACAAAATTTTTTCTTTTTCAAACAGGTATGGCCAACAATCGTTGTAATTGGCCCAGGGGAAAAGTTCTCGGAGGTTCGAGCGTACTCAATTACATGCTCTACGTGAGAGGAAATAAAAAAGATTACGACATATGGGAATCTTTGGGAAACCCGGGCTGGGGCTACAAAGACGTTCTTTATTACTTTAAAAAATCCGAAGATAATAAAAATCCTTATTTGGTGAACACTCCCTATCACAGCTCCGGGGGGTAAGAAGTTAATCCCTTCAAAAAAAAAAAAAAAAACACATCTTATTAAAATCCTATTTAAATAATTTTTTTTTTTTTTTAAATAATCTCCATTTTGACGTTTCAGGTATCTGACGGTTCAAGAAGCTCCGTGGCACACACCATTGGCAGCGGCTTTCGTACAAGCAGGTGTTGAAATGGGTTACGAAAATCGTGACATTAACGGAGAATACCAGACGGGATTTATGGTCGCACAGGGAACCATAAGAAGAGGATCCAGGTGCAGTAGTAGCAAAGCGTTTTTAAGGCCTGCACGTCTTCGACCCAATCTTCACGTCGCCATGGGAGCTCACGTACTAAAGGTAATTTAATCATCCCTTTCTAAAAAAAAAAAATTGTTGATCTCTCACAATTTTTTTTCTTTTTAAATCAAAATAATCAGGTATTGATAGATCCGGTCACGAAGGTAGCACGAGGAGTCGAATACGTGAGAGAAGGAAAAGTTCACGTTGCAAAGGCAACAAAAGAAGTCATATTGTCGGCAGGAGCTGTCGGATCCCCCCAAATACTCATGCTCTCAGGTGACAAAATGAAAAATTTTACGATGACGTCACACACGTGGAAAAACTTATTTAAACAAAAAACTTTTTTTCAGGAATAGGACCTAAAGAACACCTTCACAAGCTGAAAATACCGGTGATACAAGACCTCAAAGTGGGTCACAATTTACAGGATCACGTGGGTTTGGGCGGTTTCACATTTCGAGTCAATCAAGACATTTCTCTCGTACAGCAAAGGTACGAAAACGTACCTTCCGTTTTAAAATATGCCATGCTAGGGGATGGACCATTGACCGTTATGGGCGGCGTCGAAGGTAATGCTTACAGAGGTGGGAGGAGGGAAACAAACCGGGAAAAAATCACAAAAGAAAATTTCTGTTTTTTTTTTTTTTTTCAGGTTTGGCGTTCGTCAAAACGAAATACGCGAATAAATCCGAAGATTTTCCCGACATCGAATTTCATTTCGTTTCCGGATCCACGGCATCGGACGGTGGTAATCAAATATGGCGCGCACACGGAATCAAAGATTCGTTTTACAAAAGAGTTTTCGAACCCATATCGAACAAAGACGTTTGGAGCGTCATACCCGTTTTGCTGAGGCCGAGAAGTCGAGGGATAATAAAATTGAGGAGCAAAAATCCCTACGATTATCCACTGATATATCCAAATTATCTAACGGATCCATTCGATTTGGCAACACTGATTGAGGGTGTAAAAATCGGGATGGCTCTCAGCAGGACCAAATCATTTCAAAGGTTACACTTAAAAAAAAATTTAAATTTAATGATTTCGAATGATCCCCCTCCCCCTCCCCCCCCGAAAAAAAAAAAAATAAAAATTCAATTTTTCAACTTTCAGGTACGGAAGTAAATATTACGACGTACCGTGGCCCGGATGCGAACACATCAAACGTTTTACAAACGTTTACTGGGAGTGTTTGATAAGGCATTACACGGTCACGATATACCACCCGGTGGGCACGGCCAAAATGGGACCCTACTGGGATCCTGATGCGGTTACGGATCCCCAATTAAGAGTCTACGGCATCAAAGGATTAAGAGTCATCGACGCATCCATAATGCCGACTCTCGTTTCGGGTAACACAAACGCTCCGGTCATGATGATTGCGGAAAAGGGTTCGGACATGATAAAAGATTTTTGGAAAACAAAACTCAGACCGGAAAACTCTTTGCCGGAAGAAGAATAATAATAATAATAATAAACAAACAATTAATAATAATGATAATAATAATAATAATAATAATGATGATGATAATAAAATAAAATTCATATGTAAATTTTTGTAAATATATATACGTAAGAGATTTTTTTTTTTTTTTTTAAATTAATTTACTTTTTGCGTTGACCGTTATTATTATTATTATTTTTCCGTTTCCGACGGAAATATTAACGTTTAAAGCAGAAGACAAACAAAATTTTGAAACGTCATCAAGACCCTCAACTTTTCCATTCTTTTTTCGTTTTGTTTATTTTTTACTTTCCTTAATCTCTCGTGTAAAAAAAAAAAAAAAAAAAATTTTTTTTAAAAAATTTCTTCGAGGTTTTTGACCGTTGAGGAATTGTGACGTCAATCGTTTACATTTGAAAAATCAGCAAATTTTTTTTTTTGACAGCAATTCTGACGTTTAATAATAATATTAATAATAATAATTCGAATCAGTAAAAAAAAATCGATTCGATTGTTTTCAAATTTTGTTTCCGTTGTTTTGCTGATTTTAAAATCTAATGAATGAAAAACAAACGAACAAACTCGAGCTGTGGCTTCTTTAAAACATTTTTTAAACCCTTAGAGACGGGTTAATAGAGAGAGAAAGAAAGAAAGAGAGAGAGAGAGAGAGAGAGAGCTAGAGCAAAAAGGTCGTTTTGAATGTCAAACATGAATTTGGTCAAGTTGCTGAATATAAAAATTTCGTTCGTTTTTTTGTCGAAAGAAAAAATTTATTATTTAAGCAAAAAATTAAATTAAATCGATAATTTTGCAGAGGTAGCAACAATTCATTTCGTCGTCCTATTGATTTTTTATTATTAATTAACATTTGTCGTTGGTGAATTTTATTTCGTTAAAAAAATTTATATAAATATTTAAAGATGGCGAATTTTTTTAAACACGTGAAATCTTTTTTGTGGTTTTAAAGAAACAAGGAGGAAAAAACAAACGAACGAACGAACAATCGAACACCACCATCGTGTAAATAAAACGTTTAGGGAAAAAATCATTTGTGACGTTTCAACAAAATGGAAGCGTTGGCGGTTAAATCAGCTTTGAGGATAACATTATCCTACGGCGCCGGATTCGGATTCATATTAATGGCGAGACTTTTGATAAAACTCACGAGACCCGACATTGTCGCGGATGGAGGAAGGCCCGCTTTTAAACACAGCACGGAATTGTTGGACGAATATGATTTTATTGTGATAGGAGGTGGGAGTGCGGGTGCCGTCGTCGCATCCAGACTATCGGAGAATCCCGCATGGAACGTTTTGCTACTCGAAGCCGGACCCGACGAAACCATTTTAAGCGACGTGCCCCTCTTCATGGCGGCACTACAAAAATCACCCATCGATTGGCAATTTAAAACCGAACCTTCCGGTATCGTATCCCTTTCATCTAATTTTTATTTAAGGTTTTTCTTTCCCACCCCCCCTTGTCCCAGGTTGAAAAACAAAATTTCTTGCATTCCAGATACTTATTGTCTCGGAATGAAAAATCGACAGTGCAAGTGGCCGAGAGGAAAAGTATTGGGTGGTAGCAGCACCATCAACGCGATGCTCTACGTGAGAGGTAACAGACGCGACTACGATTTGTGGGGGATGGAAAATCCCGGTTGGGATTTTGCAAACGTTTTACCATATTTCATAAGATCCGAAGACGTGAGAATAGATCGTTTGAAATGGTCACCCTATCACGGATTCGGTCAGTCAATCAATCAATCAATCAATCAATCAATTTTTTAAAAGTGATACGATATTTTTTTTTTTTTAATCGAATTTATACGTTTATCAGGGGGATATCAAACCGTCGAAGAATTTAAATTTTCATCTCCCATCGTGACAAAGTTTTTAAAAGCCGGACGAGAATTAGGGTACCCCATACGAGACCTGAACGGAGAATATCAAACAGGTTTTATGAAATCGCAAGGAACTCTTCGCGACGGACTCCGTTGCAGCACCGCAAAAGGTAAAAATCCCCCTCCCCCTCCTTTTTGTTTCTGTCAAAAGAATTTTATTGATGATGAGAGAGCAGCCATTACATTTATTACGTTTAGCTTATTTAAGGCCCTGCAGAAAAAGGAAAAACCTTCACATAAGTCTCAATTCGTACGTTCAAAAAATAAACATAAATCCGTTCACGAGGAGAGCAGAAAGCGTCACGTTCAAAACTGAATTTTTGGGTGTGAAAACGATAAGAACGAAAAGAGAAATCATTTTGTCTGCTGGTGCCCTACAATCTCCACAATTGTTGATGCTCTCCGGAGTAGGACCCAAAAATCACCTTCAGGTTTGTTAAAACCGTCTCTCATTTAGTACCTTTCCTGTAACAAAATTCGACGAGTTTTCTTTTCAACTTTCAGGATATGAACGTTAGCGTCATATTGGACCTTCCCGGAGTCGGGGAAAACCTTCAAGATCACGTCGCTTTGGGTGGCACCGCGTATCTCATCAACAATCCCGATCCTACGGGTCCGAGCCCGGGATTCGTTTTGCCCAAATCTCTGACCCTACCCGCCGTTCAAGAATTCACGACCAACAAAAGCGGACCGTTGTACGGTTTGCCAGAATGCGAAGCCATGGCATTCGTACACACCAAGTAAAGAAACAAACAAAAAAAATGTCAACTGTCTTCGTTTTACGATATAACCCCCTAAACACTTTTTTTTCTTCCATTTTTCAGGTACTCGAATCCGTCTGACGATTGGCCAGACATTCAATTGTTTCTCGCTTCTTATGCCGACAACACGGACGGAGGAGTTTTCGGTAAAAGGGACAGCGGTTTAACGGACGAATATTACGCGTCGTGTTACGAAAACATTTTGTATCGGGATTCTTATTCCGTATTGCCCCTACTCATGCGTCCCAAAAGCAGGGGTAAAATCCGTTTGAAAAGTTCCGATCCGAACGATCCGCCTCTGATATATCCAAATTATTTCGATCATCCGGACGATATCAAAGTTTTGGTCGAGGGAGCCAAATTCGGGTACGCCATGAGTCAAACGATGACGATGAAATCGATGAACGCCACACTTAATCCGTATTGTTCGCCCGAATGTTTAAAATATGGATTCCTGACTGACAAATATTGGGAATGTCAGGTACTTGACATATCGATCGACCCTTTCAATCTCTAATATCGATTTTCTTTCTCTCTCTCTCTCTCTCTCGGTTATATAAACGCTTTCGAAAATTTTCTAATCTTGTCATTGCGTTTCAAAACAACAAATGGTACCTAAAAAAAATTTTCTTTTTGTCAGATTCGCCATTACACTATGACAATTTATCATCCCGTGGGTACTTGTAAAATGGGTCCCGCCAAAGATCACATGTCTGTCGTTGACAAAAGGTTAAGAGTGCACGGGATATGGAATTTAAGGGTCGCAGACGCTTCCATAATGCCGACGATAACGACGGGTAACACGAATGCTCCCGTCATAATGATCGGTGAAAAAGTCAGCGATTTGATAAAGGAAGATGCTTATTACGAGGATAGATACTGGTTTGAAAACAGCGTACGTACACGATGATGATGACGACGACCGCATGACCTTTTTTCTCACGAAAAGAAATGATAATGATAATAACTTTTTTTTACAGGTTTACAGGTATCACGGAAAATAGATAAATAAACAAACAAACAAACAAACGAACAAACAACGAAAACAAAAGGCGAAGACGACAAAACGAAAAAAAAAAAAAATCTCCCCGTCATTTTGACAGTTATGCAATTTCAACGCAGTCGTGATAAGCAAACGAAAAACGTAATGATTTTGAAATAATTAATAAAAATAAGTACCTGACACTCGAGTCAAGTCATGTTCATTATTATTATTATTATTATTATTTTTTTTTTTTTTTTCTCAATAAAACAAATAATTTCACGTAATCATCGATTAATTAATTACCCGACAATCTTCACGTACGTCAAATATTATTATGCAATTAAAATATTCGATAGGATCATCGCATAACGAGTAATAAAAGGCAACAATCGATTGTCTGTGTCTGTGTGTATGTGTGCGTGCGCGTGCAAGCTATCGTTTTCGTGAAGTAAAAGTAAACCGGCAACCTTAATTCTAGCAAATTGATTTTTCCAATGATCAACTTAAACAACGACATTGCAAACAACTCCATACTTTATGCAATTAACGATCGAATAAGGAAAAAAAAAAAAAAAATTATTACTTCTGATAATGTTTCCACGTTCTCTACACGTTCTCCAAACCTTTTCCAGAAACAAACAAACACAAACAACTTTCGATTCTTTTCTTCGGCTTTTCTTTCCCCCCACCCCCTTCCTTCTTAAAGTCTTCTTAACTCTTTTTTTTTTTTTTTTTTTTTTGGAAAAAATATTCTTTTCCCTCGGCTAAAAGATACAACAAAAATAAAACTTCTATTTTGTCACGATGGATCGATCGATCGATCGAAACGCGAGACAAAAAACAAAAAAACAAAAGAAATTATGAAATTATTATTATTATCATTATTATTATTATTAATATTAATGATGATGTATGCGATACAACCGAATTCTTATCGTGTAAATATAAATACGCGTCATTACGCAACGTTATTCGTTAACAATTGTTTTGATTTTTCACCACCACCACCGCCACCGTCGTCATCTTCTTCATTTTTCCAAAAAAACCTCCTCCCACTTCTACCTCCTTTTTTTTATCATATCCGATTCGATAAGAGGTCATCATTTGATGATAATCGATTGATTTCCGCTTCTTATCAAATCAACTTTTATCCGCCGGTCGATAAAGAGGAAAAAAAAAAAAAGGTTAATCGCCAAACGTTTAAATAACACTTGGAATATTTATTAAAACGTTTCGTCGATGGGATGTAGTAATGATAATGATAATGATAGTAATAATAATAATAATAATAATAATAATAAATAAATAAATAAAACGTTACGTCATCATTATTAAAAAAAAAATTACCAATAAATTTGAAAACTTTCGTTACCGTTTCGGATCGAGTAAGATCGAGTTAGCCAACAACAAACATTCGTTGTTTCGTTGTTACCCCGATAACTTTTACTTTTTATTAATAAAACTTTTTTTTTTTTTTTTTTTTTAACATGTTTGACGAAAAATTTTCGCAACAACAACAACAACAACAACAAACGACGACGACGACGAAAAAAGAAAAGTTTTTTTTTTTTAATGAAATTTCATTATGTCACTCGATGAGAATCCATCATCAACATCGTCCAGGGGGCAACAGAAAAATTTATAATCGACAACAGCAATCATGACGACGTATTCTACAAAAAAAAAAAAAAAAAAAACGTGGAACTAGATTTACGTGTGAGTATAAATATTTAACTGTAACCTACTTAAGATGAGCGAATAATGAATTCGCTTCGGAATCCGATGAATGATAAAGCAATTTAATAATAATAATAATAATAATTTTTTCTCCATCATTTATTTTAAATAAAAGAGCTCAATTCGCGGTTTCGTATTCTCGTATAAAAGGTTTCCCTCCCCCTCTCCCTCTTCCTCCCGATTTCTTCTTCCTTAAATCTTCTTCTTCTTCTTACAAATCCCAATCGTCTTTTATCATTTGCGCCGCTTTTTCACCGATCATAATGCACGCAGCGTTCGTGTTTCCTCTCACTATGAGAGGCATTATGCTTCCATCGGCTATTCTTAAATTCGTCAAACCGTGAACTTTGAGTTTGGAATCGACGACGGACGTGGAATCTTTTTTCGGTCCCATTTTACACGTTCCCACGGGATGATATAAATTCGTCGACAAATGCCTTATCAAACACGTCCAATATTCTCGACTCTTGAATTTTTCCGACGAACAATTTTTCAAACGAATCCGTTCCAAATTCGATTCTCTCATTTTCAACGATTTCGTTTCGCTCAATGAAACGACGAATTCGACGCCTCGTATCAACGTGTCCAGGTCTCCGGGAACGTTCAAATAATTCCCGATTATTTTCGGGCTGTCGTAGGGATTCGAACTTTTCAATTCGATTCTACCCGTGCTTTTGGGTCGGAGAAGAGTCGTCGAAATGAGGAGGAGATTCGCGTCGCGTACGATTTTAACGTATTCGTTTCCTATTTCCGGTTTCAAATTGAGAACTCTTGTGAATTTTTTCACGCTCTCCGTGTCGTTCAAGTAAAAATACATGAAGTGATACTGAACGTCCGGGAGAGTTGAATTTTTAAACGTGTTTACGAAACCCACGACGTCTAAATTCGTGAAAGACGAATAGGGTCCGGTGCCGTGAAGTAAAAAATCGTGATAGTGACTTAAATCGTCACCCGGACGTGACATTTTATCCGGTTTGTGTTTATTTATCGATATCGGAGCGACGTACGTGACGACGTGATCTTGCAAATTTTGTCCCACGCCGTTCATTTCGTGGACGACGGGTATGTTCAACGATTCCAAATGTTGTCTCGGTCCTATCCCGGAGAGCATCAACAATTGTGGCGTGTTGATGGAACCCGCCGAGAGTATCACTTCCTTGTGCACGAAAACTCTTTTCATTTCCCCGTTCGATTCGACCTGAACGCCTATCACTCTTTTTCTATCCAATATCAATTTGTGTGCCATTGAATTTTTAACGATGAGCAAATTTTTTCTTCCCTTTATCGGATTCAGAAAAGTTTTGGCCGTGTTTGCTCTCCTTCCGTTTTCCGTCGTCGTTTGCGGTTCCGTGAAACCGAGTTGAAATCTTCCGTTCACGTCGGACACGTAAAATTCTCCGAGTTCTTCGACTCCATCGAAAATCACATTTTTCAAATAGTCCACGTTCGGTCTCTTTCCGAAATGTTCGACGTTCAACAATCCTTTGGACGAGTGATATTTTTTCGACACGAGTTTCGATATTCTCGATCTCCACGTGGGTTCCGCCGCCCGGTATTTTTCCCATTTCGTCAACAGGTACCGATACTCGTTTTCGTCTACGAAATTGAAGCCGGACATTTTCTCAGATCTCTTGAAATATTTCAATATGTTTTTATACGCCCAACCCTCGTTTCCCATATTTTCCCATTCGTTGTAATCTTCCGGATTTCCACGAACGTATATCATGGCGTTGATGACGCTCGTTCCCCCTAAAACTTTTCCCCTAGGAGACAAACATTTTTCCTCGATCATTCCCAAACAGCAATTCGTCATTTTTTCCAATTTGTAATTCCAATCCATTTTTGTTTTCAGGCTGCTTATCCATAGTCCCGGAATTTCCGATGTCGGCGTCGGTGATCCACCGGCTTCTATAAGTAAAACCGACCAATTTGGATTTTCCGACAAACGATTTGCCACGACGGATCCGGCCGAGCCTAAAAATTAAATTTTTTCCAAAATTTATTCGTTTTCCCCCTTCAACTTACGGCCCTGACTTAATTTCATTCACTTATCACCACAACATTCATTTCTTGATAAAAAAAAAAAAATAATAATAATAATAAATTCTTAATATTTATTATTTAATCGTAAAAAACAACAACAGCAACAGCGTTTTTTTTAATTTTATCACACGGATATGACACTGACAATTTCAAAACAGATTTTTTTTTTTTTTTTTAAAAAAATTCAAATTATTTATTTTTAACGAGGAAAAAAAAAAAATAAATAAAATGGACGACAACTCACCGGCTCCGATTATGATGAAATCAAAATTTTGACCGTTAACGAGGGATTTCCATTTGTCTTCCGGGTAATCGACGCTCAAAGCGCATTGAGCCGCCATAAGCGTGTTTATCAATTTTGCAAAAACTGTTCCGGTTGTTGTTCCGCCGTTGAAACTTTCGCAAAAACCAAATGACGATTCGGAAAAATTAAAACCTCCGACTTCCATCATCGTGTCGTTTAAATAAAACAACGACAACGACAACGACAACAACAAAAACGATTCGACACGTTTGTTCTTTTAAGCACGCTCTTTCTCTCTGTCTCTCTCTCTCTCTCTCACACACACACGTTCGTTTTTATAATTCATTCATTCATTCGACAGCGGCGACATGATTCTTTTATTTTCTTTTTTTAAAACGGGGGGAAAAAAAAAATTTTTTTTTTAAACGTTCAATCTTTTGCACGTGCATTGCGCTCTCACGTGCAATACGTTCGATCTGGATGCCATTTTAAAAAAGAGAGTCTTCGGGTCAATATTGAAATTATAAAATCTTTTTCTTTTTTTTTGTTGGTATATTTTAAATAGAATAAATGAAAGAGATAAAATAAAAGCGGACATGAGGTCAATGTCATCTTGACAACCGCGAGCACGACAATACCGAGTCAAGAATCAAAAACTTATATCTCCATTCGACTTTTTAGATGTGTCCATTTCGTACTAAAATCATCTTCTCACCGCCTTCCCGAAGAATAAAATCAAAAAAAAAATAATGATAATAATGATAATAATAATTTTTGTTTAATTCGAGACGGACGACCTTGAAGGAAATTTTTTTTTTTTTTTTTTTCTCCAGAGGAAGACGACAAGAATGTTGTAGTATATTTTACGTAACGTTTTATTATTATTATTATTATTATTATTTTACGTAACCTTGTCGTAATTGTATTGATGAATTTTTTTTTTCTTTTCCAGTGACAGAAGGATGTCAAATAACAACAACAAACATGATGTTTAAATGCAAATCAATGACGACGTCATACGCGGTTCATTTTTTTGGGGGAGACGCGGGGGGGGGGAGCACGGGCGAAATATTCACACGTTATTTACGCGTATCAACAAATCTTTGGGAAATTCCAGCTGGAACGTGTTTCTACGATTTATGGCAATGTTTTCCATGTCACCGAATAGATTTTTTTATTACGTAATTTCTAGAAGCTTTTAAAAAAAAAAAAAAAAAAAAAAAAAAAAGTACAAACGACTAAAAAAAAAAAATTTTATTTTTTTCATTACGTCTCGCTGTGACGACTTTACCACTCCTCCACCTCCTCCTCTTACGTGACAGTTGACGACGGCGAGCGACGTTTCATTTCCGTCATAATTCCGTGTGTCGTCGCTCTTTTTTTTCCCAATCGTTTTTTATAAAATCCGAACACATTTCCCCGATCATGAAACAAGCCGCGTTCGTGTTGCCCCTGACGATGGTCGGCATTATGCTCGCATCGGCGATTCTTAAATTTTCCACTCCGCGAACTTTCAACTTTCCGTCGACTACTGCGTATTCGTCCGTTTCCGGACCCATCTTGCACGTTCCCACGGGATGATATAAACTCGTCGTTAAATATTTCATTAAACACGACCAGTAGTCGTCGTCGGACGACGTCTCGCGGAACGGTTCGCATTCTGCTATGTTAAACTTGTGAAGTTTCGGTTCTAAAATTTTAAAGTTGGTCGTGTCGTTGAGCCTCATCAAAAATTTGATTCCCTCGAGTAAAACTTTTCTATCATCTTCGGATTTCAATATGTCGGCGTGGATTTTCGGGGGATCGTTCACGTCGTCGCTCTTCAATTCGATTTTACCCCTTCCGTTGGGTTTCAACAACGTCGGCGCTATTATCAGCAGTCCCGTTTCCTTCGCGAGTTTCGTAAATTCTTCTCTTATGTCGTCGTTCAATCGTAACGCTCTCATCGTTTCCGGAAGCAAATAATTATCGCCTTTGGCAAAATAAATGAACAAGTATTGGATGTTGGGTATCGTGCCGTTGTCGTCATCCGTGTTCACGAATCCCGTGAGATCCGTCATTCCGATCGACGATAAATATCCAGGTCTTTGAGTGAGAAAAAAATACATGGCGTCGAGTGGCGTCAACGGCGGAAGTGTGTGACTTCGAAGTTTGAACAACGAGAAAAGACTTCCGACGAACACGAAATGATCTTGCAGATTTTGTCCGACTCCTTTCAAATCGGACACGACGGGAATGTTGAACGATTCGAGATGATCTTTCGGTCCTAAACCCGAGAGGAGCAATAATTGGGGAGTGTTGATGGCTCCTGCTGAGACGACGACTTCCTTTTTGACTTTCAACGTTTTCGTTTGATTGTGTCTCGATATTTCGACTCCTTCGACCCTCCCATTTTTAATTAGTAATTTTTTTGCGATGGCGTTTTTGACGACGAATAAATTCGGTCTGTCTTTCACCGGATTCAAAAACATTTTGGCCGCGTTCGCTCTCGTTCCCTGGTACAAAGTTCCCGGACAATTGGAAAATCCTATTTGACTTTTACCGTTGAAATCCACGAGCGAGGGAACGTTGAGTTCTTCGAATGCGTTAAATATGCAATTTTTAACGAATTCGACGGAAGCGCTTGCAAATGGCGACACGCTCAACGGTCCTCCGGACGAGTGATATTTCGTCGACATTATTTTCCCTTTCAAATCCTCTCGTCGTCCCTCTTCTCCTCCTTCCGCCACGTCCTCTTCATCTTTTAAACAATACCCGTTCGCATTTTCGGATTTTTTAAAATATTTCAAAACGTTTTCGTAGTCCCAATCGTCGTTTCCGACCTCATCTCTCCAATCGTTGTAGTCTTGCGGATTTCCTCTCACGTAAAGCATCGCGTTGATCGAACTGCTTCCTCCCAAAACCCTCCCCCTTGGATACGCGCATTTTTCATCTATCATTCCCAAACACGAACCCTCGTGTTTCTCGCTTAAAAATTTCCAATCGATTTCCGTTCCGTGAGTGCTGAATAATAAACCGGGAACGTCCGAAGTGAAACTCGGATCTCCGCCCGCTTCTAAAATTAAAATCTTCCAATTTGAATTTTCCGACAAACGATTTGCAACAACGGAACCGCTAGAACCTGTGAAAACATTTGAATTCTATTATTTTCTAGAAAATTCTTCTTATTCCTTCGTTCGTGCAACAAAACCGAGGAGAAGGAAAGAGAGAGAAAAAAAAAAAAAACTCGCCGAATAACGAATCCATTGCGGCGACGGTTAAAAACCTTGAACCTGAACGAGTTTGGTCCAACGAGTTTTAACCTTGAAACAATTTATATCGCAAATTTATCAGGTTTTTGTTTGTTTTCGGTTGTTTTCTTAAATTCTAACTAACCTGCTCCTATGATGATAAAATCAAATTCTTCATTTTCTACCAGGGAATTTCCATAATCCGAAGGATAATCTTTCGGATTGCTGAAACCGCAGTGCGCCGCCAATAAAGTTTGTATTAATTGTGAAATCATGAGGCCGGCCGGTCCGTTAACGTGACCCGGACAGACATTTTGAAAACTCGTTGGAATTTCGAAGGAAGACATTTCAACATTTTACAAAAAAAATAATTCACCGGTACGGAAAGGTTGTAACCTTTCTTTCTATTCTTTTGTTTCGTGCGTGCGAGCGAGACAAATTAAAAAAAAAACGCAGAGAACAACTTTAAAAACAAAACTTTTTTTTTTTTTTTTTTTTTTTCAAATCATTCTATGAAAACAAACATTCATCGACTACAACTGATGTTCATCATTACAAACGATTCGAGTCCGATCTCTAAAGTGGAAGGAAAACCACTTACGTCCTCCGGTTGAATCTGGTAACAAAAAATTAAATGAACTTGACTCCAAGTTTTAGTTTCGAGATGTAAAACCGGATACGTCCACGTAAAACCATATTACGTAAGGCAAACATTAGAAAAAAAAAACTTGACAACGATTCTCTTGCTCATTGTTGTTGTTGTTGTTGTTGTTGTTACTTAACACGATTGGTTTCTTTTTTTATTTTGTAAACGATGAAGAAAAAAAAAAAAAAATAGACAAACCGGTTGGGGATACGCAACGGATTAAAAAAAAAAAAAAAAAAAAAAAATAATAAAAAAACGATCGATGGAATCGTCAACCCCCCTCCCCAACCCCGAACTACCAATTATGAAATTTTTCAATTTCGACGTGGAAGAAGAAGAAGAAGAAGAAGGGGGGGGAGGGAAAAGACAAGACAAATGACAATTTCACCAAGAATGACTTTTTAACAAGGTCGAACGTAAAAGCCCACTTGCACAAGCTTTCGTAAAATTTATAAAGATTGACATTTTGAATTTTGTTTTTTTATTTTTATTTATTTCAAACAAACAACAACCGCCGTTTGCGTTTCGAACAAGACATGGCGGGGGGTCAAGGACCGACACAAGAGTCTAAGAGATCATTTTAAAATAAAAAAAAAATAATAATAATAATTTTGCATATTTTTTTTTTTTTAATAATTTTTTGAGAACGTGCGACGGTAGTTCAACAATAACCGTTTGTCATTCAAATGAAAAAAAAAAAAAAAAAGGTCAAAGTTCATCGTTTTTAAATTTTTTCCAAGTTTTTTTAATCGAATCCGATACTTTTTCGCCGATCATGACGGAACACACGCTCGTGCTACCCCTCACGATGTCGGGTAAAATGCTTGAATCCGCCACTCTGAGACGATTAACGCCGCGTACTTTTAATTCGGCATCGACGACTGCCATCTCGTCGTCGGGTGGACCCATTTTACACGTGCCGGAAGCGTCGTACATGCTCGTCGTCAAGTGCCTTATCAAACATTCCCAATACTCGTCGGATTTGAAATCGAAACTTCCGCACGGACCGATTTTGAGTTCGATCAATTCCACTCCCAAATCTTTCAACGGTTTCGTTTCCGACAGTCGAACGGCTAATTTTGCAGCCCGAATCAGAGTTTGAACGTCTTCGTTGTCTTGCAAGTAATTGGATATGATTTTGGGTCGAGTGTCGTGATGACTGTCGACCAAAACGATTTCTCCTCTGCTTTTGGGTCGCAACAATGTGGGACACATCAATAAAACATCCGATTGGGAATAAGCTTTCGAGTATTGACTCCTTATGTCATTTTTTATTTTCAATGACGTCAACAATTCGTTGAAAGTGTAATAGTCTTTAACGCGATTCAAATAGTGAAGAAATTTCACGTCGGGTGGCTCCCCGTCATTTTTCCCTTCCGTGTTGCCAAAAATCACGACGTCGTTTAACCCGATGTTTCCAAACATGCCCTCTCCCCGAGAGATAAATTGATACATGGCATCTACTTTTTCCAAATGATTAATCGCTTCCGATTTTTTTTTAACCGCAAACGGAAGACCGAAAAATGTGAGGTGAGCTTGAAAATTTTTCCCGACTCCGGGCAAATGATGAACGGGTCGTATCCCTGCGGACTCGAGCTCTTCTTCGGGTCCTATGCCGGAGAGGAGGAGCAAACGTGGCGAATTGACGACGCCCGCGGATAAAATAACTTCTTTTTCCGCGTAAACGTTCAGGGATTTCCCGTTCGCGAACACTTCCACGCCTCGAACGGTTTTACCATTTAAAATTAATTTTGTAACGACGGCGTTTCGCACGACGAATAAATTTTCCCGATTTTTAACTCGCGACAAAAAAACTTTGGCGGAATTTCCGCGAGCGGCTTCGTTCAAAACGGCCATCGTTTTACCGCATCCCCTCTGCGTTATCCAATTGAAATCCGGCGTTCTCGATATGTTGACCTCTTCGGCTGCATCGCACAATGCTTTTTTCACGTGAGACAAAGAGAAATCGTATGCGAAATGATTGACGCCCATGGAGCCACCCCTAGAGTGATATTTTCCCGCGGCTATTTTAGACGCGACGTGTAATTTCCAATCGTCGCCCCCGTGAATTTTAACGAGTTCGTCGTACGTTCCGCCATATTCATCGCGTCCGACTATTCGGAATTCATCGTCGAGTTTTTCCGATTTCTTAAAATATTTCAATACGTTTTCGTAATTCCAACCGTCGTTTCCCGCTCTTTCCCACTCGTCGTAATCCTTTCGATTCCCTCGGATGTAGTGCATGTTGTTCAGAGTGCTCGTTCCCCCGAAAACTCTTCCCTGAAACAAAGCGCAACCCTCGTCTTCCATTCCCAAACATGAATTTTTATTTTTTTGCGTTATGAAATTCCAATCCGACGGATCCCTTCCGGGCACGCTTAAAAAAAATCCTGGTATGTCGGATTCGAAAGTTGGAATCCCTCCGGCTTCGATCAATAATATTTTCCATGACGAAATTTCGCTCAGTCGATTCCCTATCACGGATCCCGCCGACCCTGCACAAACGCACCCCCTTATTTTTTTTCTTTAAAATCAAAAAAAAAAAAAAAAAAAATTAAAACTTTCTCTCTCTTTCTCTCACTCCCTCTCACACACACCCTTTCACGAAATAACATTTTACACTGTCACTTTTATTTTTAAAAAAAAACGGGAAAATACCTCCTCCGACGATAATAAAATCGAATTTATCCCCATCTTTTAAATCATTCCAATAATCCTTTGGATAATCGTTTGGATCCCCTAACGTGCAATGAGATGATAACAGCATGTGCATCAATTGTATAAAATAATATCCCGCCATACCGCCGGCTTGACCCGGACAAGAATTTTCAAAATTTACACTCTGTAAAATCGGTTCCATTTTTTTTTTTTTCTGTTTTTTCACCTTTGACCTGATCGTAAATAAAAATAGGTGACGATAACATAATTATATTTAAATTGATAAAAAAATTTTTTTAAATACTTTTTAACAACAACAACAACAATCCACGTCACGTCACGTTTTTAGGAGTTTATTACGTAACAAAACAAAAAAAAATACAAAAAAATTTTAGTCGGACCTTAAATTATTATTATTATTATTATTTTTGTTAGCGTCTCTTTCTATTTTTCTACGATTATGTTATTCGAAAACGTTCGGTCTAAAAGAGAGAAAGAGAGAGAGAGTTAGAAAGAGACAAAAACAACAACAAAAAAATTTTTTAAAAAAAAAACAAACGAGGAGTCCTTGGCCAAACACAATAATTAGCGACGACCGCTAAAATAATAATAATAATAATAATACTTTTTCTTGTCTTGTAATTACGATCATTATTATTATTATTATTATTATTATAATTATTTGTCGTTTCAATAATGGAAAATAATTCAAGGGATGTACAAAACGAAAATGAAAAAAAAAAAAAAAACAAACACACACACAATTATTAATAATAATAATAATGATGATAATTATAAATAAAATTTTTAACTTAACGATTACTTACGAACCTGCAGAGAGAGACAGACAGAGAGAAAGAAAGAGAGAAAGAGAGAGAGAGAGAAAAAAAAATAAGTAAAACGTTCGTTACTTTCGACTGATTCTTACGTGAAATGATGCCGTGAACCGTTTAAAAAAAATTTTACCGGATGGATTCGTCATTTAGATAATAGATATTATCGATAAGAGAGACAGAGAGAGGGAGAGAGAGAAAGAGAGAGAGAGAGAGAGAGAGAGACCTTCACTTAAAATGATAAGTTATCAGTAATACATTCTCCATCTTTTTTCATTTCATATGACGTCTCGTGGAAATCGAATTTGGGGAAAAGGCAAACGACGGGAAAAAGAAAGAGAAAGATAGATAGATAGATAGATAGATAGATAGATAGAGAGAGAGAGGAGACAGATAATAATAATAATTATTATTAAATTTCCAGCATCTCATTGATTTGGTGTCTGACATATTTTTTTAAAAATTTTTTTTTCGTTTTTTTTGTTTTTTTGACTCATCCCACGTATATGACGCCTCGCGGCGTGATCACGTCGTTAACAAATAATTACGTATTTGTAATACATCAATCAAAAACAAAAAAAAAAAAAACAAATGTGCGAAACAAACTTTTTCTTCTTCTCCGAAACAAAATATTATTATTATTATTATTAAACGCGCGAAAAACGATTGAGCAACGAATAATTTTTTATTTTTTTCGGAGAAAACTCCTCCGCCATTTTTTTTTTGGAAATTTCAAAATTTTACGCAAATACGAAAGCAAAACATTTTTAAATCCGTTTCAAAAATTCAAACGTGGATGATTGGCAATGATCGATATGTGATTAATTTTTTTTTTTGAAAAGATGAAGACGGGGGTGGTCGATCGATCGAAGTAAATTTCACCACCGTTACATGAAGAACTCCTCCCCTCTCCCTCCCCCTAAAGAACATGTTTAACCCGCTACTTAAAAAAAATTATGAAAAACAAAAGTTTATAAAACGACCGCGTAAAACACAAACCGCCGAATTTTTATTAATAAGAGAGAGAGAGAGAGAGAGAGAGAAAACATTTAATTTAATAACAATAATAAAAATTAAAGATTTCATTCTCTTCTTATTCTTCTTCTTCCACGATTACGTTTTTTTAATTTATTACGTAATAGAAAAAAAAACTAAAAAACCAAAACTAAAAAACTTACAATTATCATCATCATCACCATTATTAAGAATTAAAAATTTTTTTAAAAAAAACCGGTTTCGCGCGGGTGAAAAAAAAATTTTTTTTGGGGGGGAGGCGGGGCGGGGAGCGGTATTGAGAAGGTGGGCGAAAAGAATTAAAATAAAAAAATTTACTTAATCGAATAAACGATTTCGCTTTTCGCGCTTTTTCCGCGCGCCGTTAAAACAAATCGCGTTATCACCGTTTAAAAAAACTCATCGAGTAATTTTCCACGAAGATTGAGAAACAAAGATAGATATATGTAAAAAACAATAAATGATAAATTCAAGTGTAGTAAAAGGAGAAGGGGGGCGGGTCCCGGGTCCCCCCAGTTGAGAAATTTGCTTTAATAAAAAAACACGTTTACGATTTGAAAAAAAAAAAAAAAATCTCAAGTCGACTCCAACGTTTTTTTTTTTTTTTCCGAACTAAAAAATTAATAATAATAATAATAATAATGCTGCTAAAAAATTTTTTTACATAATTACTTAATTGTTTTGAAACCTTGAGTTCGTCTTTGGAAAAAGAATTTCTCCTTTTTTTTTTAAATGGACGGAAAGATTTTAAAATGGAAAAAAAAAAAAACGAGTTTTCTCGTTTGATCTTTTCCCAGTTTTTTAGTACGTGTGAGTGGATTACGTAAAACGAAATGCATAAAAATTTTATTTAAAATGCACGAGAAATGCATGTGCAATGAGAAATTGTTGGAAAAACTTCTCTTTGAGGAAGGGAAGAGAGGGGAAGGAGGAGGGAAAGGTTTTGACGCAGTTTCGAATTCGCTAAAAAAAATTTCCACGCGGTCATCGAATGTACTTCCCCCCCCCTGAAAATTATTTCACGGTCGTTTTTAATTTGGATACCTTGGACACCTTTATCGACGATCTTTTTGATTAAAAAAAATTACCATAACGCTCCACCCCCTCACCCCCCTTATCATTTTATTAATTTCACCGTTGAGAAATAACCGATTTAGGCGACGAAACGGGGAGAGGAAGAGGAGGGAAAGGAGGGGGGGGGAAAATTCCATAATATCGTTTATGAAAATCGATTCCATTCCTCCGCCGTCAGTCATTAAACGATCCAATTACTCCAGTTTCGAATTACCATTATCATTATTATTATTACGCTTACGGTACGTTTGATAAAAACGACACACGACAATAATAATAATAATAAACAGTATTGATAAAAAATTAAAAAAAAAAATTAACGGAAAAGCGACACCGTCGGAAAATATTTTTTCGAAACTTTTTCTTTTTAAAATTTACTCCAAACCTTTGATTTAAACGAATCGAAAACGCAACGGGTGAAATATAATGAGAGAGAAAGAGAAAGAGAGAGAGTAATAGCAAGAAAGAGAGAGAGAGAGAGAGTGAAAAAAAAAAAAAAGTTGTAGTAAGAAAACCGTAGTAAAAGTATCTCAAGGTGAACTTCACCGTGTTAGGAAAATTTTGAGGTCGTTCGTAAACTTACTTAACGTTTAAATTAATTTAAAAAATTTTTTTTCTTTTCCGCTCGTTTTTTTTCTTTTTTTTTTGGGGAGGGGGTGAGATAAAAAATTATTAAATTATTTTTTCCTCGTCCCTTCCCAACTTTTCCCTTTTTTTCCCCCTCCCTCCCCTCAATAATTTATAATATAATATAATAATTTCAAACGATGTCGAACATGAAAAAAACGCATAATAATAATAATAATAATAATAATAATAATAATAATAATAATAATACGCAGTAAATTACGTAATAATTTTTTTTTTTTTTTTTTAAATCAAACGAAAATAGAAAAAAAAAAAAAGAAAAAGAAAATTCGTTTTCGAAACCGATAATTAACCTTGAGGATTTTAATTTTCTAAAAAGATTTATTAAATAAAATTTCCATTTGATTCATTCGTGACGTAATAACAATCGAACAACAAGTACTGGGGGGAAGGGGGATCATCACTTCCTGTCGTTCGATATCTCTCAACTGAATGAACAAGAACCTACGGCGACAGAGATTCGATGACGAATAAGACAACGAAAGGATCTCTTTTGAAAATTTTATATAAATATCCCCTCAATCGAGAAATCCCCCCCTTTTTTTTTTTTAAGAAAAATCCGAGAAGAAAATTTAATGGCGAGCAATAAATAAGGAAACGTTTAAAATTTTACTAAAAACTCTCTTTCTCTCTCTCTCTCTCTCTCTCTCTCCCCTGTCTTTCCCTCTTTTTCAAAATGGATAGAGAGGAAGACAAAGAAAGTGTGTGAGAGAGAGAGAGAGAGAGAGAGAAAAGTAACATCCAAACAAATAAATTTGTCAATGCCACCCACTTTTCAATTGTAAGAAACAAATAATTACGTCATTGATTTTGCCATAAATTATTAATTGATGAAGATGCTGGGAAGTGATTAAAGGTACGAACTCCACGTTTTTTATCCTATTCGTATCCTCCGGGGGAGAACAAACGGAGAGAAAAGACGGAAAAGAGAGACAAACAAACACAGAGTGAAAGAGAGAGAGAGAGAGATTTTAAGAATTTTATTCATTTATTTATTTATTTCGGGGTAAGAAAAAGTTTGAATGTTTATTTAAAATTATTCATTCGATTTTTATTCATTTTTCGAGAGTTGTTTCGACTATCGAGTTTGATTTAAATTTTAAATTAATTGTCCCCTTTCTGGAAAATCTCCAGAAAGGGGAAGATGAACAAGAATAAGAGAAAAAAAAGACTGTCATTATTATTATTATTATTAAAATATATTCTGGAACGATGATAATAAAAAAAATTCCAATTTTAAAAAAATTTTTTTCACATTATTCGAATGGCCGGACGCCATTTTTTTTTTTTTTGCTTTTTCTCACATTCGAGTTTCAATTACGAAATTAATTTACGATATAAACTCGTAAATATGTGATTTGAATTAAATAAAAAAAAGATAATAATAATAATAATAATAATAATAATAATAATAATAATAATAATAATGATATAATAACAAACAATTTTTTTTTTGCCAATCGACAAATTTCCAACAATAACAACGAAAAAAAAATAAATTATTTAATAATTTCTCAACTAGCCCCCCCCCGTGTGTACGCGTGTGTGCGTGCGTGCACGTGCGCGAATTTTATAACGATCGCATTATAAAAAACACAAAACACTCTTCATCGTCTGCTAAATGCGTTAAATT